AGGTGATGTTATATTCATACTAATCTACTTTAGTCTAAAGCTAATTATGATTTCTTTTCACTCTTAAGAACCAAGCCTGGAATCATAACCTGTTATATCCTGTACCTATGAAAACATCAGGTGGGAAGAGTGTAAGAGAGCTGCCCTGTTGGGAACTCTTATTTGCAAAGTTACATTCTGTGTCAAAACAATCAAGTGAGAAAATGCCCCACATAAGCCTGAGCTTCACACACATGTGCACACATTTGCACCTATATACATGCATGTACACACATACATGAACCTATGCATACACACAAAATGAAAATGGAAGCAGTACAGGCCAAGACTACATAGATAGACTTTGTCTGAAAAAAGCAAAAAGCTAACAAAACAGAGAGCAGAATTGTTCTTCCTAATCCTTCTGATCTTTCTTTTTTAAGTTTTTTTTGTTTTGTTTTGTTTTGTTTTTTGTTTTTCGAGACAGGGTTTCTCTGTGTAGTTTTGCGCCTTTCCTGGGACTCACTTGGTAGCCCAGGCTGGCCTCGAACTCACAGAGATCCGCCTGGCTCTGTCTCCCGAGTGCTGGGATTAAAGGCGTGCGCCACCACCGCCCGGCTTAAGTTCTTTTTTTGAGGGCATGAGGGCTTCAAGATAGGGTTTCTCAGTGTAGACCTGGCTGTCCTAGAACTCGATCTGTAGACCAGACCAAGTGCCTGGTTTTTTTTTTTTTATGTGAATGAGTGTTCGCCTATGTATATATGTGTATGACATGTATTAAGTGTCCCCAGAAGCCAGAAGGGGGAATCAGATGAAGAGCAGAACCTGAGTTTGGTTCCCGACACCCACATCAGGTGGCTCACAACTGTCTGTGTAACTCCAGCTCCAGGGCCCCTGATGCCTCTGGCCTCCATAGGCACCAGCACTCATGTGCACATACCCACACATAGGCATGAACATACACATAATTAAAAATACTATTTATTAAAAATAAATCTTAGCTGGGCGGCGGCGGCGCACGCCTTTAATCCCAGCACTCGGGAGGCAGAGCCAGGTGGATCTCTGTGAGTTCGAGGCCAGCCTGGACTACAGAGTGAGTTCCAGGACAGGCGTAAAGCTATACAGAGAAACCCTGTCTTGAAAAACCAAAAAAAAAATAAAATAAAGTAAAATAAAATAAAAATTAAAAAAATAATAATAAATAAATCTTTTTAAAAAAATGTTTGGACTCAGTGTTTAGAGTAAAGTGCATTAGACAGCGACTTCAGAACAGGATCCGGAGTCAGCCCAATGTGAGTGCAGCTGAGCCACTGGACCAGCAGTGGAGCCCTGGAGCTCTGTTTCCTCAACTCTGACTAGGGTTATTGTGAGAAATAAGGCAATACATCTGGAATGTTGTGAGGACTCCCTCTTTCACTCTTTGTACAGGGTCTCATGTAGCCCAGGCTGGCCTGTAGTGGGTAGCTGTTCCAGCTTTGACCTGGAAGTACTACCCCTAGTGAGGCTTCTGGTAACTGCCATGCCTGCCTATGACCTGCCCCTGGGATGGGGCCACGACAGGCGCCCTTAAGACTGGAGATCCGGACGTGCAGGGCCTCTTGATTCCTTGTGACCTGGATGCTGGATGGCAGACTGAGTCAGAGTTCTCCAGAGAACCCCGCTGGACTGCACCTCACCTCTCCCGGATCCTGTAACCAACCCGTTTACTGGCTGTAAGTTACCCCTCAAAATAAACCTCCTTTTTAACTACGTGGAGTTGTCTTGATAAACCCCCACATTACTGGCCTCAAACAGATTGTAGTAGGGGATGGATCTGAACTTCTGATCCTCCTTTTTTTACTTCCAGAATGCTGAGATTACAGGAACAGCCTGACATGCCTGTTTTTTTTTTTTTTTGTTTTGTTTTGTTTTGTTTTTTTTTTAAAGATTTATTTATTTATCATCTATAGTGTTCTACTTGCATGTATACTGCAGTCCAGAAGAGGGCACCAGATCTCACTATACAGGGTTGTGAGCCACCATGTGGTTGCTGGGAATTGAACTCAGGACCTTTGGATGAGCAGCCAGTGCTCTTAACCTCTGAGCCATCTCTCCAGCCCCTGACATGCCTGTTTTACACTGTACTGGGGTTAGAACTCAGGGCTTTTTGCATGCTAGGCAAGCACTCTACCAACTGAGCTACAGCTACAGCCCAGTCCCTGGTTATTCTTATTCTTATCTGAGATATATTTATAAAGCTACTTTATAGAGCAGTTTTTCTTTCTTTTTAATCCACATGCAGTCCTGCAGCCACTTATAAAATAATCATTCAGAGGCTTAATATTAATTACTAATTACATGGTCTATGGCAGGCTTCTTGCTAGCTAGCTCTTATAACCTAACCTATTTCTGTTCACCTATGTGTCGCCACATGGCTATGGCTTACTGGTACTTTCACATCTTGCTTCTCCTGGTGGCAGCTGGCGTCCTTCCTCTCCGCCTTTCTTTTAGATTAATAGAAATGGGTTAAGTTATAAGAGCTAGCTAGCAAGAAGCCTGCCGTAGACCATACAATTAGTAATTAATAGAAAGCCTCTGAATGATTATTTTATAAGCGGCTGCAGGACTGCTGATGAGAGAAGTTTGTCCTGACCGTGGGCTGGGCAAAACATAGGAAACCATTTGACTACAAACTGAAGCAGAGACCATGCGGACAGAGACATGCTGTTCACTGGCTCATACAATGGGCCACTCACAGGCTTAGGCTCAGCTACCTCTCTTGTATAGCCCAGGCCCACCTGCATAGGGACAGTGCTGCCCACAGTGGGCTGGGCCCTCCCCTGTCAATTAGCAATCAAGACAAGCTCTCATAGACATGGCCACCAGCTAGTCTGATCTGGGAAATTCCTCTGCTGAGGGACTTTCTTCCCAGATGTGTCAAGTTGACAGTGAAAACCAAGGAGCACACACATGAATCCCCACGGAAATCCCTTAAAACTGAAAGTCTGACTCAAGGCCTGTGGCAGCACAGCAATTGAACTTCCATTTCTAACACTTTCTGATGGATGGCTGTAGCTGGACCACAAGCCAGCATTCTGCAGCAGAAAGAAACAGGCTTTGTTGGTTTGCTTCCGTTTGGTCACAGGATCTCACCGTGTAGCCCCAGGCTGGCCTGGAATTCAACCATCTTACAGGGTGACCTTGAACTCTCCTGGCAATCTTCTTACTCAGTCCCCTAAGCTCTGGGATTATACACCAACTGAGATCATGTTATTGAGCTTGCTTTTTCTTTCTCTTTCTTTTTATTATTATCATTATTGTTTATTATTGTTGTTGTTACTGAGACAGGGTCTTGCTGTCTCACCCTGGCTGCTGGTTGATCTGGAGCTTGCAATGAATATGTTTCACATGATAGAGGGAACCACAAAGCTTGACTTAGTTTCCTGTCACTGTGGTAAAATACCCCACAAAAGGAGTTGAAGGGAAGAAGCGTTTGTTCCCACAGTTCAAGGGCATGGTCCACCACTGTGGGAAAGCCAAAGGGCCAGGACCTTGAAGCAGCTGGTCATGTCACATCCACAGTCAGGAATGGAGGGGAATAATGTAGGCTGATGCTCAGCTCCACTCTCCATCTGTACGACCCAGGATCCCAGCCAGGGAAGGACGGCACCCACAGCTGGTCTTCCCCCTTAGTGAAGGTGATGGAGATGCTCCCCCACAGGGAAGGAGGGCACCCACAGCTGGTCTTCCCCCTTAGTGAAGGCGATGGAGATGCTCCCCCACAGGGAAGCCCAGAGCTCCATCTCCCAGTGGAGTCTGTCAGCCCCGTTGTCACTGGGACGAAGCTGCAAGCAAGCACGAGGAGGTACAGCTGCTCGGGCTTGGGCAGTGGGATTAAACTGCCTCTCCTAAACTTCAAGCACAGGAAATTCCCCAACGATCCTTTGAGTTCGCATGCACAGTGATCCCATCTGTAAGTCCCTACGTGGAATACGCACTGTGTATACCTGATGGTGTACCTAACAACCTAGCTCCCCCACCACCTGCACAGAGCCACGCAGACACCCCACTTCAGTCTCTCCTCCTTCAGCAAGCAGCCTCAAATAACTCCCTTTGTGTGGTCAGTTTGCATTCGAGGCAAGAACACTCATAAGAGATGCACCCAAGCCGGGTGGTAGTGGCGCACAACTTTAATCCCAGAACTCGGGAGGCAGAGCCAGGTGGATTTCTGTGAGGCCAGCCTGGGCTACAGAGCAAGATCTAGGACAGGCACCAAAACACAGAGAAACCCTGTCTCGAACGCCCCCACCACTAAAAAAAGAGATGCACTCAAGTTCCAGGCCCATCTGGCCTGTAGAATGACTTCCAGGTCAGCCCAAGCAACTTAGTGTGACCCTCTCAATGTAAAAACTACAAAGTAGACTGGGGATATAGTTTAGGATATATCAGAGATCATTTCGTGGCGTGGGGCCTCATGAGCCCCTCTCCAAGGTGAGAACCTTTTGTTGGTCTTCATGCTTTGTGTTCATATTGAGCTACTGGGCTCCAAGGTAAAGTTGAAGTTAGAGTTCAGTGTCTTTTCCTGGGCTCTAGAACAAAAGGAAATGAATATTTTTGGAATCAATTGTTGGCCAGGTACCATACGCCTCTCAGATTCTTTATAGCATGCTAAACATTCTTCATGTATTATCTCTCGAAATCCTGAGACTCAGATAGTCTCCCTGGGAACTAGAGCAGCAAATGACAGAAGGAACTGGGATAGAATTATGTCACTTCATAGATAACTATGCTGGACCGTAAGCTTCCAGGAGCTTCTCTCTCCAATGCCCATCTCCCCATAGGAGTGCTGGGATTGTAGGTGCCCCTACCTCCAGCATCTGCAGCATCTGGCTTTGCTTTTTCTTCTCTTTTCTTTTTCTT